ACCTCAATTTTCGGTGTATCAAACGGTGGTGATGATTTCTTGCTTCATCATCATCAAAACTGTGGTCCTAATTTCAGGCACCTCATCTAGTACGGTTCAGCTAGTGTAGGGGATAATTTTCCACGTTTAAAGTTTGAGTTAATTAACATCCATTTTCCTAATTATCTAGTCTTAGAAATTTGAATATCAGGATTAAGAAAAAAGGGGGTCCTAGCAATCCCAGAGGAGCCCCAAAAAAAGAATAGATTAAACGCAAATTAGACATTAGTCCTCTGTAACGTTTCTCCTAATTTTTGTATTAATTCATAGATTTTTTGAAGACTAGTTTTGTTGATTTTTTTAATGTCATTATCTTGTTTGCTTTGTATTTGGTCACTAATTACTTTCAATACTATCAAGTAGATAAAACATATCAGCATTGTGTTAGTTTACAGCTAAGTGATAACCTGATGCAAAAATGAACATTAATTAATCATGATAGTGAAAAATGTAAGTGAATAAACATGTTATGTCGAAAATTTTGTGTGGTTATATATATTGCTTGCTTTATATTTGGCAACTATGTCAGTACTAACTCATTTTATAATGTTAATTTGTATACACTAATAACGTAAAAGAATTTTTATACTATTATATCACATAAAAAATAACTACAAATAACCATTCATAAAAAGTGAAAGTAATAACTTAGAAATTTAACACGATGCCTGCTACGTACAATCAGTATCGGAGACATGATTTTCTCTAAAGGAATTCAAAAAATAAAAAATTTAAAGAGATTGTGGCCAATAGGAATTAAACTAGTGATCTCGCAAAGGTTTTGAACCCCCTTGATCATTGTGCTAACTCCTGGGTTGTGTTAAAAGATATTCAAAATATATTATATAGAGGCACAAAAATGATTTTGCCTTATTATAAGTACAGTGTAATTTTTCACCCCTTAAATCCTTCCATGTGTACAATAAGTTAAAATGTACTGATACTGTAAAAAGTTTTTATACTGTTATTGTTACTGTACAAAGGTTAATTCCTACTATTTGAAGAAAAGTGAAGGAATTTGATGTTATTCGCTTGTTGTCAAAGTAAGGAGATGAAAAATATCTGTAATAAGCTGGAAAGTGGGTAGGGGAATGATGCAAAATAGCAAATAATAGGGGCAATGGTGCATATTGCCTTTGTCAATGCCATGGGCCAAGGGTGATGGGCAGGGGCGGACCCAAGTGGTTAGAAGTGGGTTCAACTGAATCCGCTTCGTCAAAAAATAATATTGTGTATATGTATAAATTATAGCTAAAACAAGATAAATTTTGTTTAGAAATTATTTTTGAACCCGCTTATGTTATGGACTTCTCCGATTGAATCCGCTTACACAAAATCTTGAGTCCGCCACCGATGATGATGGGTGGTGCCATAACTTGAAAACTTGAAAGGTGAGGAATTTGCACATGGAGGGCTCACGGCCTCAACTAAAACCTGGGTCCTTTCCTGTCTCTACTTCCATTACTATTTCAAAAGTTAGCAACTCCTTTTCTCAGTTTTGGAAAAGTAAAATAAAAACTTTAATTTGGTAGTGTATCTTTTCAAGGTTAGTGTAATATAAATAATTCTAAGTAGGTGTTCGGGTTGAAATTAGAAAACAACAGTATTTGAAGTTGAAAAAAGGTGTTTTTAAGTTGCAGATATGCTTGGAAATGAATTTTACTTTAAAAAAAATAATGATTTTGTTGGAGTAAAAGCCATTATTTCACTTGATGGACTCAAATATATATTTTTCTTGACTATCTCTGAATAGAACCACCACCAATAATAAAAAACAATGATCCAGAAAAATCTTATTAATGGGTATAAGGAAGGTAGTGTGTACGCAGATCTTACCCCTATACCTTGAGGGAGTTGAAAGATTGTTTCCGAAAGACCCTCGACTCAAGAAGACGAAAATAAATAATATATCAGTAACCTCAACAGAAACCAAAGGAATAATAACAGCATCATAAAAGCAAGAAAATAGATGAAAACAAGACCTCTAAATAGATACTCCTTCCGTTCACAAGAGAAGACAATTTTTTTGTTCCTGTTATACCCACATTATTTATTACTCATTTCAAATCATTTTCTCAAATCTGATAAAATATGCATCAATTAATATGGGTGTCATGATAAATTATGCACTTCATTTATTATTTTTTTAGGGACGTGAAAAGTCAAAACGTGTCAAGTAAAAGTGAACAGAGGGAGTAAAATTTTTTGTATACAAAGGACCAAAGGTCTCTATTAAAAGGATTAACACTAGAAGGAAAAAGAAAAATTCCGAAAGTCCAATCTCAGTATTCCATTTTCATCATTTTAACCATGTATCTATTCCAGCAAAATTTATCTTGCTGTGAATACAACTATTGTTACTCCTTAGAGTTGTGAATACTTTAGTCTTACAATGCTCTAATTAAACACAACTATTACCTATAAGTATATTACTTGGCATTAATTTGATTAATAATTTTAAGCAGAGGTACAACTACTAGCCTGTTTGGCCATGCTTATTTTTGGCCAAAAGTACTTTTTTTTTTTTTTGCCAAAAACACTTTTGGCCTCAATTTGAGGTGTTTGGCCAAGCTTCTGGAAGGAAAAAAGTACTTTTGAGGAGAAGCAGAAGCAGAAAAAATAGTTTCTCGCCAGAAGCACTTTTTTAGAAGCACTTTTGAGAAAAATACACTTAGAAACAGTTTTTTAAAGCTTGGCCAAATACTAATTGCTGCTCAGAAGTGTTTTTCAAACTAACTAGCCAAACACAAACTGCTTCTCACCAAAAGTATTTTTGAAAAAAACACTTTTAAAAAAAAACATTTCTCAAAATAAGTTGATTTTTGCATTTGGCCAAACTGGCTATAAGTCCATAGATCAATGGTATTGACCCATAGCTTCTCTAATAAATAAAAATTGAATAAATAAAGGAGTACATAGCATGGAATTCTGTGAGCATAGACCTACAAAATTGTCTTGGGGAGAAAAAAATGAAGAACAATCGTGCAGTGTACGAAGTAGCTGCATGGAATTGCGGTGAGAATCAATTTGGGAAAAGAACGAGGAATAGTTTTGAACCAGTAGAAAATTTTAAAGGAATAATAAATTGTTAATTTTATGATATGTAGTGGTAGTACTACATAAATTAAATTTTGGGATACCCTAGGTCAAAGGACGATATATAATTATTTAAAATAATTCTACTACTTTAATATTTGGCCCCTATTTAACTGTCTACCCGATCCTAGACAGTTGCACTCCTACGGGGTCCACTACGTTATCTCACCTCAATCTCATAATTTGCTCCAAGGTTCCAACTATTTTAAGAGAGATTATGCTAGCTTTTGGATATAAATTTGGTTAAAATTTGAAAAAATAAATTTTTGAATATGAGATAAAAAATAATTTTTAAAAATTGAAATTATATTTGGAGATGTATTTCAATTGAAAAAAATTTGAAGTATTGTGAATAAAAGATTTCAAAAACTACTCTAGAGTTGTTTTTGAGGTTTGAAGATTTTATTTTCAAAATCTGCCAAAAAATAATTAAAATTTATAAACAAGCATATATTTGAAACTAAAATTTGAAAAGAAGCTCCAAAATTTTATAGCCAAAGATTTTGTAAAAATGATATGACATATTTAAAATTACAAAATTTAAGTAATATTTTAGTATATTATACATTACGTTAATTCAAACACATAAAATAAAATGAAGGTTGTACAACTTTAATATACATGTGCAAAAATGTAGGTTGGAGGATGTATAAGGCATCACAATTCTTCTTTGCATTGTTTGACTCCTTTTAGGTGAAATCGACACAAAAATTACAACTATTTGGAAAAGCATAAACTACTAAATAAGGATATACGATCGAGCTGTAATATAGTATGCATTTCCTGGAATTTTATTACTCCTTTATGTTTTAATACCTTCAGGCTAGCTCGTTTGAGATGAGAGATAAGGAATAATTAATCCTGAGATTAAATTTGAGATGAGTTTATCCTCTGTTTGGTTAGGATATAATCGTGGTATAACTAATCTCGGGATTAGTTATCTCGGAATTGTAGTATTTTTTATTCCTATGGGAGGGTGGAATAACTAATCCAGGATAATTAATCATGAGATAACTTGTTTTCCAATCAAACGACTCTTCGTGTGCAGGCGATTTGTGCAAGATCATTGAGTTCGACGGTATAAAATTCTCCTAATATTCCTCTACAATTCTATTTATTACCTATAAGATTGAGTTCTTTCAATTAGAATAAAATTCTAACATTTCCACTTCCACAGCTCTAAAGGGTCATTTGGACCTCGATCGGTACATGTTGGACTTCAGCTTACTATGGCCCATGATACATGCCCACTACCGGTTTAGCTAGAGTTTATTTATTTGTATTTTGAGCTCCCGGGCCAAACCCCAATATATTGTAAAAATAACAGAGATACAATGAATGGACTGGAACATTCTAGAAGAGAACAGAAATATTTCTCTCTCTCTCTCTCTCTCTCCAGTTCTTCCTTCTCCCATAAACTTTAATCAATACTTCTTGATTTTTAGCTTGATTTAGTAGTTTTACATTGTATCAGAGCGGATGATCCGCTGATTCTCCTTCTCCTGTTTTGAGCGGTGTTACCCTCGCTCATTTTCATTAGTTTTTCGCTCGATTGTCAATGTTCGTGGTTGATTCTGTTTCTGGTAGTTTCCTCTCGATTTGTAGATAGAATCAAGGTCGGAGTTACCTTTCTGTCATCTATTGGTGGTATTTGTGATACGTGTGGGTGAATTTGGATCGAATTGGACAGATTTCCTCCTCCGCTACTGACCTAGGGTTTGTTCTGTTCAGATTTTTGGAATCTGCATTCAAGGCCGTTTGTTTTCCGGTAGCGAAAACATATGGTAATATCTTTCAATTTTCATTTCATTGCTTCGGTCATTTGTTTGTGTTCATTACTTTGACGAAAGTCTCTGACTGTCGATATGGGAGCATCTGATGCATCCTCGAGTACTACCTATACTCCTGACCCATCCAGTCCACTCTTTTTACTTTCTTCTGATGTACCTGGTGTATCTCTGGTTAGTGTGACTTTCTCTGGGACTGGTTTTGGGGGTTGGAGGCGGAATATGATCGTATCTCTATCCGCTAGAAATAAAATAGGATTCATTGAAGGAAGTTGTCCGAGACCAGCTGAGGATACTCCTCAGTTTAAGCAGTGGGATAGGTGTAATAATATGGTCATTTCCTGGCTGACTATTTCCCTATCCCCGAACATAGCTGAGAGCGTTCAGTACTCGGATACTGATGAGAGTATTTGGGCTCAGCTTAATAGAAGATATGGTTCAGTTAATGGGATTAAGGTGTTTGAGATTAAGCAAGAGATAACATCTACTCATCAAGGGCCATTGGACATTGCTTCCTATTTCAACAAACTCAAAAAATTATGGGATGAGCTGAGGTTTATGTGCACTAATCATGCCAATACTTGTGTTTGTGCTGCTAAACCTGGACTTCAAAAGGAGGAAGAGGAAAACAGATTACACCAATTCCTCATGGGTCTAAATGAGACCTATGTTGGTGTTAGGAGCAACTTGCTCATGATGCAACCTCCACCTTCTCTTGATACTGCTTATAGTATCCTCCTCCAAGCACTACGAATAAACGCTAAATTTGCGGAGGTTTTATTGTGGCAGTTACTATAACCTCCGCAATCTATATCGAATTGTGGGGGTTTATTTACCCCCACAAATATAATATATTTACGGCAGTCGGTAACCTCCGCAACACAAAAAAAATAGCGCCCACTAACCCCAATGTTTCCCTCGTTTTTTAATTCTTTCCCTCTCTTTTTTTCCGACACCCCTTTCTCATTTTCAGTTGCAAACTAAAAAAACCCTCTTTCATTCCTTTAACCAAATCCTTAACAGACCTAGAAGACAAGGGATGAAAATGAGCAGCATACAAATTCCTCAATTCCTTTAATTGGATGTAAGTTTATGTGATTTTGTTTTTCGATTAGCATACAGATTCCTCAAAAATTCCTCTTCGATTTTGCTTTCTTAGCAGCCCACTTTCATACAAATTCCTCTTCGATTTTGCTCTTTCATTCTTTGATTTTGCTTTTTTGTCTTTCTTTCATCATGCATGTGGGTTTTAAGTTTATTTTCTCAGTTAATTTCTATTTTTCCTTTACTGATTTTTTCTCTTTCTTTCATCTTGATGTTTTTCAATTCTCAACAGAAAGTAGCCGAAATTTAGTAGAATCAGTGCATTTTGAAGAAGGATATAACACTCTTTTGTTGAAATCGAGATGTAAGTCCTCTTTCTCCTTTTGCATTAGGTGTTATAGGTCCTAGAATTTAGATTTTTTGTATATTTTGTAGGTTCATTTCTGTGATTTGGGTCTTAATTGAAATATTTTCTTTTGCATGTGTATTTTAGAACTCCTGCGGACCTTCAGAGAAGATACAATTGTCACTGGTTGCTTTTCCTCTCAAGGTACATTTTTTTTGTTTTTCTGTTTAATAATATTGGAGTCACAAAAATATATCTTACCTATTTGAAGTGCAGTAAATGAACATTACCTATTTGAACATTACCTATATGAACATTAGTTGTTTTTCTGTACAAAAACTACAGTACTACTTTCCAATCGGCAGGAAATGAACATTACCTATTTGAAGTGCAGTAAGTACTGCATTTGAGCCTGTGTTGATTTCAAGTGGTTCTAGTTTCTTTTGAATTGCTATCTTAGTCACATCTGTAGAGCTGTTTGTTCTACAAATATGCTAATTTTGACAGGAAGTATCATATAGTAGCCTAAACTCTAGTCACCTTAGTGATTTTTGGAGCACCTCTTATTCCTCCTATCGCAGGTTACTGACTTCCCAATGGGGAGCCTTTTGTAATTAATTTGTTGTTTATCTTTGATAGTTTAGTTTGTATATTTACCTCTTTTCCTTTACTATATTGTTTTGTTGTTCTTAAGTTGGTGCTGAGGCTCTTTTCATATATATAAATACTTTTGTATAGGCACAGAATAAGTAGGAACATATCATTACCTCTACAAGGAAAATGGCTTCAGCTATCCAAATAAAAAAATTCAGTATAGGCACAGAACAAGTAGGAACATATCATTACTGGCTACATTGCTATACAGTGGTTTAAGATCAGTAGAATCATAGCTATAAGAGCATGAAAAATGGGTCAACAACATATAAGTGAGGAGTCCTAGCAATTAAGAAATTAAGAGAAATCTGTTGCATTTCTCCTATAATAGAAGTGTGGAAATGTGGAAATGTTTAGAAGGAAAGCAAAGTAAATGACCGAAGTAACATAGAGATTGGTAACAATAATCAATATGTGTATGTGTATGTATTTGGTTCTATCTTGTAATTTGGACTTCTTGTATCAATTCACATCAACTGCTAATTTGCATTTATTTATACATATAGCAGTCCAAGCTACATTATCTTACAAAATTTTATAATGTTATTGTGTTAATAGGTTACTAAATCATCCTTTCTCATGGAAATATTGTAGGTTACAGTAAACACTCTTGCTCAGAGAAATCCTTATCGGTGGACCACTTCTAAAAGGTTATATATCAATACTTTCCAATGGATAAATCTTGGATTGGAATGCCTAGAAATACAACAAAGTATTTACTTGGTTTGAATCAATTTCTAAATTTTGCATTTAAAAATGCTTGTATAGGAGATAGAATAAAATGTCCGTGTCCTAAATGTGGTTTTGGGAAGTGGCAGACCAGAGAGATAGTGTACGAACATTTGATTAGCAAGCCATTCCTTCAAAATTATATTACTTGGATTCTTCATGGGGAAACAGAAGTGTTGGAGAACTCTACAAGCATAGAGGTTATCCTAGATGCACTGCCTCCTGAAAATCCTATGGAATTGTTGATAAATGAAGCATTCCCGGGTTTAAGGCATGAGGGCATTGATGCAGGTCCATCATAAGTAGTTGGAGAAGAAGAAATATTAAATGATCTGCTTTCTTCAAATAACAAAGAATTTTTTGAGTTGCTTAAAGATGGAAGTGAAGAATTATATGAAGGGTCGAAGTATTCGAAGCTAGAATTTTTGTTAAAGTTGTATCAAATAAAGTGTTTGTCTGGGCTAGGTGACAAGGGAATGACTATGATACTAGATTTACTGAAGGATGCATTTGGATTTGCAAAGATACCTAATACTTTTTATGAGACCAAGAATACCATAAAAAAGCTTTGTCTTGATTATATCAAGATAGATGCTTGTCCAAATGATTGCATGTTGTACTGGGGAGATGATGTTAGTGAGGAAACATGCAAGCATTGTCATACTTCTAGATGGAAGCCAACTAAGAAGAGCAACAATAATCACATGTCTACTAAAGGAAAGAAGAAAAAGAAGTAAAAGATGCCCGCAAAATTTTTGCGTTACTTTCTACTGAAACCAAGGTTACAGAAATTGTTCATGTGCTCTAAAATTACAGAGCATATGAGATGGCATGTGAAAGATAGTAACAGAGAATGGAATTATGAGGCATCCCAGGGTTGGTGAGGCATGGAAGAGATTTGATATTACTTTTCCTGAATTTGATTCTGATCCTAGAAATGTTCGATTAGGCCTAGCTAGTGATGATTTCAATCCTTTTGGGATGATGAGTACTAATTATAGCATTTGGCCAGTGATTTTGGTTCCATATAACCTTCCACCTTAGTTGTGTATGAAGAAATCAAATTTATCCTCTCAATGATCATTCTAGGTCCACGTACGACGGAGAATAATATAGATGTATACCTACAATCGCTTATTAAAGAGTTGAATGAGTTGTGGTGTGAAGGTGTGGAAACTTTTGATTCATCAAAGAATGAAATATTTAGAAAGCGAGCAGCTCTTATGTGGACAGTTAATGACTTTCCTAGACATGAAATTTTATCTGGTTGGAACACACATACCGGTTTTGCATGTCCATCTTGTAATTTTGACATAGAACCTTGCCGACTTCGTAGTAGAAAGTGGTGCTTTATTGGTCATCACCGATTTTTGACAAGAAATCATAAATTTAGATTGATGAGGCTTCAATTTTTTGGCAATACGGAAGAGAGAAACCCTCCAAGGAAGTTAACTGGGTCAGATATTTTGAATCAAGTGGAAGAAATTGATGTTACATTTGGAAAACCAGCAGAATTGAATGAAATAAAGAAAAGAAATCGACAAAAAGGTACCGAGGAAAGTGCAACTCAACAATGGAGAAAAAAAAGAATATTCTTCAATCTTCCATATTGGGAATTCAACTTGTTGCGCCATAATTTAGACGTTATGCACATTGAGAAGAATGTGTTTGATAATATTATATACACTTTGCTACATGATAAAGACAAATCAAAGGATCATGTTAAGGCTCGAGAAGATCTACAAGATATGGGTATAAGGCGTGATCTTTGGCCAGATTAGAATGAGAATTGTCGGCTTGCTTCGTTTGCAATTCCAATAAATAAAAGAGTCGACTTTCTCAAAACTTTAAAAAATATCTCGGTACCGGATGGTTATTCAAGTAATATATCTCGTTGTGTTGATCTAGATAAAAAGATGATATTTGGACTAAAAAGCCATGATTGTCATATCACTATGGAACAATTGTTGCCCATAGCAATTCCAATGTGCTTCCAAATCATGTTGTTGTAGTCTTGGTAGAGCTTTCATCCCTTTTTAGACAACTTTGTTCGAAAAACTTGAGCCTCTCGGACCTAGAAAAGCTACAAGATCAGATTGTACTCACACTTTGCCATTTAAAGATGTTGTTCCCTACATCTTTTTTTACTGTAATGGTTCATTTAACTGTCCATCTAGTGGAACATTATCGGTGGATGTATTTTGTTGAAAGGTAAAACATTACTTATTCAACATAATTTCAATCGATCTTATAATAGTAATTCAAAGTAAATACTTATTCTAATACCTTTTAATTTTGGTTATAGATTGTTAGGTCATTTCAAGTCTCTTATAGGGAATAAAGCACAACTAGAAGGTTCCATAGCTGAGGGTTACATTGTTGAAGAAGCCCTAACTCTTTTTTCTCGTTATTTTGAGGATATTGAGTCGAGGATAAATAGGCCTAAATGTGTAAACGATGGACCAAATCTTAATGAGGCTTCTGAAATGTCATCTATATTCCCTACACAAGGTAAACCCGTCGGAGGTTCTGAAACATTCACCTTGACTCAATTTGAGAAGACTCAAGCTCATCGATATGTGTTACTTAATTGTGCAGCAGTAAAGCCGTTTATTAGGTAAGAAAAATAATTTAATTTAATTTTTTACAAAAACTTTGAGTGAAGTGATTAAAATTGATACAATTAACTCCTTTGTAGTGAATTTAGAAATTACATAAGAAGAAGTTCAAGAGGCCGGAGACCTTCGGCAACTGAAGTAGAAAGGAGAGTTAATAAAGAGTTTCCTGATTGGTTTCTAAAGCGAGTGAGTGAAAATGCTTATCTATGCTTAATTAACTTTCTTGTTTTAATTTTGAATATTTGACAAAAATAATTTTATCTATTTAGATTATGAATCCGGATTTAGCAAACACAATCTCTACTCATTTGGAGTTTCTAGCACAAGGTCCATGTACAAATGCGAGAAGGTTCACTGCTTATAATATTAGTGGATTCAAATTTCGGACATTGTCTAGAGAACAAGGATCTCAAACTCAAAATAGTGGAGTTTTTTTTTTATGTCTGACACCTCTTGTATTGCATCCAACGCTGACAGAAATGCGATGCAAGCAGACTTGCCATATTATGGGAAGTTGGAAGATATTATTGAGCTTAATTATTATGGTCAGTTTAAGGTTGTGCTCTTCAAATGCTAGTGGGCTGAAACTACTCGAGATAGAGGGTTCAAAAGAGATGCTTGGAATTTTAACTGTGTTAATTTTTCTAGATTGATTCACACTGGTGATCGTAAGGAGCATGATCCTTATATTGAAGCATCTCAAGCAAATATGGTGTACTATGTTAATGATGAAACTGATGAAGGGTGGAGTGTGGCGGTATATTTAAAGCCAAGAGATTTGTTTGATATGAGAGAGGTGGTTGAAGGAGAAATATACGAGAATGAGCCATTCCAACAACAAGAATTTGAACAATTTTTTGATGTTAATTATGAAAATGTTCAACTTGCAATAGATGAGCATATGTTTGAATAGGAATTAGTATCGTCCTTAGGTTTTCCTCCAGTTCTTCATGGTGAGTATTTTTCATCCCTTTGAGAGTCAAAGAAATATTTAATTTTATATCATTATAAAATTTGTATCAGATTTTGTTCTACCTCGCATTGAAGATATATAAGAACTCATCTAGTTTTTCTGATCATTTGAACATCTTTCTTCTAATACATGTGTGTATTGTTTCTTCTTAAATCATTCGACTTTTCTTCTACTAATTTTGTGAACTCCTGCTTTTCTTTTATTGCTTGCAGGTATGTCGAAGCCCAAACGTTACAAGAACTTTCAGAACTCAGTTCAATCAGCATATGCATCACAAAGTGTAGCACAACCTTTATCAACTGAATCAACACCTTCGCATTTTGATGATACACCACAAGTTCAACCAACAGCACGACCAACACCTTCAAGTCTTATTGCAGCAAATTCAATTCTATCAGATCAGACAACAACACAGTAGGTTCCATCAGTCCGGGCCGCGTCACAACAACCACCATCTAGAAAGCGTAGTGGACGTGTGTCTTCGCAATATTGGACTGTAGATGCAATAGGTATGTTATTGCCATTAAAGCCACCACTTTAAATCTCTCTGACACCACAAATTCTCTTTCTTCATGACTTTTTCCACCTACTAACAATCCTCTCTATATTTCCTCTGATGTACACTTTACAGAAAAATCTCTCTATTTATTCTCCAAAAATATTTCTTTTGTTACCTTAGCCTTCAAGGGTTGAACTTGGCTACTTTAGATATGGATTAGCCATCTGAAGAGTTTTCTGTTTGATTTTAGGTTCTTGCAAAGTGAAACCACAAAATGATATTTGACAATTAATTAAATCTCCTCTTATTTGCTACCTTCTCCTTAATTAATATACTTGGCAGAGAAGTTTACTTTAACATATTAAGAAAATATCTTAGATGAAAAATTAGAAGTACACGTACGGATATCAAGAATCCAGGAGATGACAAACATTATATATAGCTCTGAAGTTGCTGGAATTTGATCAATTCATAGATGTTCTCGTCATCCAGTTGAAATCTTGATTGAGTTATTTTAATATTTTCACGATATTTTTTGCTTCTCTCATGATATAAGGTAAGTAAGAGTGAAGAGCAAGGTCCATGTATTTCTTGTGAAAAGTGAGCTTAAAGCACTTCCCCTTAGATCTTAGAATGGAATTCAACAGCTTCATAAATTTCGTTGTTGACTTGGCCATCAAATTCGTCAATTACCATTGTGACCTTATTTGAAAATTCATCAAATTTCTCTTTAAGTATAGAAAAGAGAAGTCTGGACTCATGTACTGCTTTAGGGAGTAACATGGTTGTTGCAGCAACTGAGCTTACTGTGGCAAAAACCCCCATAGCTAGTGCCTAGTGAGTGTTTGAGATTTTGCTATACTATTATTAGTGTCTTCACACAAATATGAACTTACTCTTTTGGGTTCCTTACTAATTTCCAGTATTGCAAGCTATGCACAGACTTAATACCCTTAAATTTACTGCATGCCTCAATCAAAGAATAGAGAACCACATTGATTTTTGTTTTTATCTTTTAAGATTCACAAGGAGCTAGCAGGATACTTAAAGTGAAGAAAAGAGTCGTGTTAAATTTATCTAATGGAGAACGTATTGTGGTTGATTTTGACGACATGGATTCTCCCATCGGTGAAAGACAAGGCATTCTTGCAGGCTTTTGTGAAATTTTAGCAACTGACTGCTCCATTTTTCCAATTCACTTTGAGAAATGGCCGGATTTACCTGTGACAACCTTCAACCATTGTTATGATCGATTTATAAAGGTATTTCTAAGGCATACAATATCTCTATTTTATGTCACTAGATTTTATATTTGCATATAATAATTATCTAACCATTGGTTTATTCTTGAAGCCGCGATTTTGTTTTCGAACAACTGAGTCAAATGCAAGACGATATGTTTATAATTCTATGTGTAAGAAGTGGGGGCGCAAGAAGGATAAAGTTGTTTGATAAGGTCTATGATCCACTTAAGAGCAGAACCGAGATAATGGATAGCGTTCCACTAGGAATTCCACCGGATCAATGGATTTCTTATGTTGATTACCGCTTTAAAGAAAAGACACAGGTATTTATTTCAAGAGGTTGAACCTTCGGAGGTTCCATAAGAGGTTGCTTCGTGCCTATTATTTTTCTTTGCTTGATCACCAATTCTGCTTTACTTGTTCAAAGTTTATAACTTTTCTCCTAATCTGTTATGTATAAGATCTAAACAACTATTATGTATAAGATCTAAACAAATAAAGAAATGAAATTAAATTTTGCTTGTGCCTTTGTTCTTTTGTTAAACAGATATTATGGTTTTACAAGTATACAATAGGCAATTATGTGTAATTCGTGGTATCTTTTTGTAAGGAAATTTGTAAAAGAAATGCTGAAATCCGGAAGAAACAAATTGTTTCACATATCGGTGGATCCAAACCTAACTCCAGAAGAAGGACTGAAATGGTATTGATTCATTTTGAATACTTTAATTGAACTAGAAACTATTTTTAGTTAGTTAAGTTAATGCGACTTTAACTTTTTCATTTATAGATGGCTGAGACTGGACAAAAGCCTGGACGAGGACAACTTTATCTAGCTACACAGAAATGAAGATGGATCATATGTTAATGAGGCGGCAAAAGAAATATGTGTAAGTTTTTAATTTCTTCCATCAAATTTGCAATCATTTAGTACCTAGTAATTAGTGATTGGTTCTAAATCTTTTAGGATATGATAGTAAAGGAGAGTTCTTTACAATATTTACTTTGCCAAGAAATCATAGTGGAAAGAAATCAAGAAAAGGTATCTATTCTCAAATTTTATGGGAATCAGAAGGAATAATACAATTCTGTGATCCAGTTAAAAGTGGATTTTTCATATGGAGTTTTAGAGGAAAGAGCAATAATTATTGATTTATGGAGGCTTAATCTTTTTATAAGATTAAATGTATTTACTTTGGTTGATTTGCTTGCCTTTAACAAATTGAGGCCAATTGATTATTAGGAGGTAGTAACAGTTTATAGCAATTTTTTTATCTTTACATTCATATACATTGAGGCAAAACTGAATGCATAACCTTCTATATGAGGCAAATTGATCTTGTTAAGAAGCTGGATATCCTTCTACTCTTATTTTTCTTTTTTTAATAACTTATCAATCACTGATTAAAGTTAGGACACTGACTTTTGGTGTGTAATGTATTTAGGAAAAAATTGAACTAGCATTGAACCAAAGCACCATGGATGAGTCTGAAATTTCGCCAAATGATGTCGTTGATAAGGTGCTGGGAAAAGAGCACTCTGGAAGGGTAAAGTGCTTGGGATTAGGAGCTATTCCTGGTAGAGCTTTTAGACAAACAAGACCTCGTTATAGTGATTTGAATGCTTCAAGTTATAATAACGGTTCATGTTCTTCCCAATGCCAAGAGAAGTACAATCAAATGTTAAATGCTCACAATCAAAGCCAAGAAAATTTTAGAGAAATGATGAATGCTAACACCCAAATGATGAATGCTTTTAAGGCGTATATGATAATGAAAGAAGGGAGGATACCTGAAGAATTTGCAGGGATCTCTGTTTCTCCTCCTCATTCAACGGTAAGAAAAGTTCATAACTTTCTTATTTAATTTTGAAAACTTTTGTGCTATATGTGGTGTTTGACTCTTTTTCTCACTTTCTTCACTCCGATATCTACACATGCATTCTCATCAAATGTTCATTTTTGATCTTTCATGTTGTTCTAGCTACAACAAATTAGCACTCACAATGTTGCCTTCTGTTTTCGCTGCTGGTGTACTTCCTTTTGTTGATCATCCTTCACTTATCCCTTTAGATTTGCTTCTTATTTTTTATGCTAAAGAAAAAGGCTTTAATTTGATAGATCTACAATTATCATCTGGTGTTTCATTTCAAGAAATTAATGGCAACCCTTTTCTCTACAGTCATCAAAACTTTGTGTTTCTTGATCAATCTTTTCATAGTGGTGATGTTGATGTGGTATATAAACAAGAACCATTATCTTCAGTTGTTGCATCTCCTGATACTAATATTATTATTAATGACAATAGTTATAGTAACAATAATGTTACAATTGCTCAAGGTTTGTCTTTGTCTTTGTCATCATCATAATCATTACAACAACCAAAGTAGTAGTAGTAGTAATAATCTTTTGCCTCATTTGGATAACACCCTCGAGATGGATCATAGTGATCTTTGGGAGAATAACCTGGCAAGCAACTGCAATTGATTACCTTATTATCAGGTGATTGGCAAAATCCATATACACCACAAATGTTACTCACAACACAAGGTTGTGTGATAGCTTGCCACGCAACATCCCAACCATTCCCATTTTCTTTGCTACGGTAAAGCTATTGGAAATCTCCCTTGTCAGTGACTATCGCCAGGTGGTAATAATCTTGAACTAGAGAAGGCTGGTCTGCTGTCATGTTGGATATGATTGAGCTTCCATTCACAATAAATATAGTAGCGGTGGTCTTATTGAAAACTAGCTTTACATTATTGTGGTTTATAGTCGGAGAATTCCAATAGCCCAAATCATTACAACAACCAATGTTCGTTAATTATATTTTATTTTGATTTGTTTAGTCAGGTGATGCGGCTAGCAGATCCATTTCACCCCTGGATGCAAGAAGATCTTCTAGTGAAAGTAATTCTAACGACAACCATTGAAGTTTCTTGAAAATGTATCTTACTCGATTGAATGACCATAGGAGATCTTTTGTCCTTAATTAATAGTTCGAGTAGATGTTCTGTTTAAAGTTAGTTTTAAGACTAACTATAATACTGATTTTGTGTTTAGTGGATGGAGTAGTTGTGTTTAAAGCAAGTTTTTGAGACTAATGATAATTTACTTTAATATATTTTATGGTTTATTAATATATTGATGTTACTTGATTCTATATAATCTGATGATGCTTCATTATATTAACATAGTTTAAATTGGATCAGTAATGGGTATAACAGTTGACAAAAAAAAAATCAATGAATAGCGACGGTTAAAACTGCCGTAATTTAATAAATAATAATATTGTGTTTAAACTTGCGGGATTAAATGAAAATATTGTAGGGGTTTTGACTGCCGCTATTTTTTTAAACGTGTGGTCTTAAAAAGTCAAACTAACAAATTGCGGAGGTTAGACCGCTGCTAAATATCCGCCGCTATATAATAACGGTGGTCTTCCATAAAACCCCCACAAATTGATTGCGGTGAACGTTTTTGCGGGGGCTTTGGAAACCGCCGTAAAAGCAAATTGCGTAGGTTTCTGACCCCCTCAATATGTAAATAAAACCTCCGAAAATTTACCATTTTTTTGTAGTGAAGATGAAAAGCAGAGGCAAATTACTCCCAATTCTCATTTCCAGGGCGACTCTACTTCTTTTCATGCCAATCTGAATACTAAATTTGCCCCTCTTAGACAGTTTGCCTAAAAAATCAGTTTTGATCAGAACAAGTCTCCTCTTTTATGCAAGTATTGTAAAAAACCTGGACATTTGATTGATAAATGTTATAAGCTCCATGGATTTCCACCAAACTTTAAATTCACCAAAAGTAAACGAACTGTTGCAAATGTTGAGGTGCAGAGTTTAGTTTGTGCTTCTGAATCTAGACCAGTTCCTACTGAAAGTCCTTCTGATTCCAATTCTGTGATTCCTGGTCTGTCTAAGGACCAATATGCTCAGCTCCTGTTGCTACTTCAGAAACATCACATTTCAGAGTCTCTCCCTCAGTCTAGTCTGATGGCTTCTGCAAATTTTGCGAGTATAGTTCTTTCCCCTGATTGTATAGGCAAGGTGTCTTATGGTGCATGCATGCTAACTAGAGTCCATGAGTACACTTGGATAATAGATTCTTGGGCCACTGATCATATGACATCTTAGAAAGAACTCCTCTTTGATATTCAGTCCCTAGTTGTCCCATATTTGGTCACACTTCCTAATGGATATAAAGTCAAAGTCACTTGCACTGGTTCTCTTCACTTTCTTTCTTTCACACTTCATCATGTACTTTTTGTCCCTAATTTTCAGCACAATCTTATTTCTGTTCACAAGTTTGTTGCACAATTAGATTACCTGGTTCTATTTGGTAAATTTTCATGTTTTCTCATACAGGCCCCTTCAATGAAGAGGCCACTGGAAATTGGTAAACAGGATCATGGGCTATACAAGCTTATGCAACCATGTCCATAATCTGATTCTACTATTCTTGTTGGTGCTTGTAATAGTTTTCCTACTTGTTCTTCTACTTCTATGTCTTCCAATTGTAAATACCATTCTCCATTGGCTGCTATTGGAACTGATAATCATTATACATACCACTCTAATTTGAATAAAATGGAGATTTTATGGCATAATAGCTTGGGGCATATTCCCTTTGTCAGAATGAAGGATATTTCATCCATTCCATGCAAATTTTCCTCCAAACAGTCTTTTACTTGTTGTATCTGTCCTTTGTCTAGACAACCTAGACTACCCTTTCCTGATAGGTCCATCAAAACTTCTCATCCCTTCCAACTTGTTCATGTGTATACTTGGGGACCATATAACACTACTACCTATAATGGGTGCAAATATTTTTTGACTATAGTAGATGATTTCACTAGAGCTACTTGGACTCATCTTATGGGGTCTAAAAGTAATGTTTTTCCTCTTATTAAAGCCTTTGTTGCCATGGTCAAAACACAATTTCAAACTGTTAGAAGTGATAATGCTCTTGAATTTGGGTCTGGTGCTCTTGTTGGCCAATTCTTTGTTGACAATGGCATTGTTCATCAAACATCTTGTCCACACACACCACAACAAAATGGGGTAATCGAAAGGAAACATAGGCATTTGTTGGAAACCTCTAGAGCTTTACTTTTTCAATCCAAGTTACCTATTAAGTTTTGAGGTGATTGTGTCCTCACTGCCACTTACCTCATAAATAGATTCCCTTCCAAGTTGCTTGCCAATAAAACTCCTTTTGAATTACTCTTTGGGAAACCCCCTTTATATGCTCACATTAGAACCTTTGGTTGCTTGTGTTTCTCCACAATTCCTAAGTGTCACAAGGACAAGTTTCAACCTAGAGTTGATCCTTGTGTTTTCCTGGGATATCCCTTGGCTAAGAAAGATTATAAACTTTACAACCTAGCTAACTAACTAACTTTTATCTCTAGAGATGTAGTATTTCATGAGGGTACCTTTCCTTTTGCCTCACTCTCTCCTTTATTTGTTACTTATACATCACCTTCTCTTTCTGTTCCTTTATTTTCTGATGACTTTCATTACACCTCTTCTCATGAGCCTGATCCTGTCTCATCCTCCACACATATTTCTTCTCCATCTTCTTCTCCTATTCCTTCTCATGTGTCTCTTCCTCACTCTGCTCATATCCTTGAACCTCCTCCTACTCCTCCTATTGCCTCTAATTTGTGTCCAGCTCATGTTAGGAGATCCTCCAGAAATCATGTTACTCCCAGTCATCTTCAACAATATGTTTGCAGTCTGCCTCCTTCTCTATGTGGCTCTAGTTCTTCTCCCTTTTGTTCTCAAAGTTTAGTTAGCATTGCTGGCCTGGAATCCCACTCTTACCATCAGGTTACTTCTACTCTAGCTTGGCAAGAGGCCATGAGAAAGGAATTTGAGGCTCTTGAGGCTAATGATACTTGGTCTATTGTTGAGTTACCTCCTAGCAAGAAACCCATAGGTTGTAAGTGGGTATATAAGATAAAATATAACGCCGATGGATCTATAGAAAGATATAAGGCTAGGTTAGTTGTTTGGGGTGATACACAGGTGGAGGATGTAGATTTTAATGAAACTTTTTCCCCAGTCACCAAATTTTCTACTGTTAAATATCTCATGGTTGTGGCTGTAAAAAGGAATTGGTCTATGTTTCAACTTGATGTAAATAATGCATTTTTGCATGGAAACTTGGATGGGGAGGTCTACATAAAATTGCCCCCTGGTTTGTCTATTGAGAGTGCTGCTTCATCTGGTCAGTCTTCTAATTTGGTTTGTCACCTTCAAAAATTTTTGTATGGTTTGAGACAGGCATCTAGGCAGTGGTATGCCAATCTGTCTCATGCTTTGTGTTCTAGGGGTTACTTCCATTCTTTGAATGACTATTCCATTTTCATCAGAAGATCAGGTGGTTCCACTGTACTTCTTGCTGTTTATGTGGATGATATAATACTTATTGGTGATGATTTGGAAGAAATCTCTGCTTTGAAACTTTTCTTGGACAATCAGTTCAAAATCAAGGATTTGGGTGTTCTTAACTACTTTATTGGCATAGAAGTGGCATATCTTCCTTCTGGCCTATTACTACATCAAAGTAAGTTTATCAGAGATTTACTTCATGAATACAATTGTGATATGGTGTCTCCTGTGACTTGTCCTTTGGATTTGAACTCTAAATTGAAGACTGTCATGGGTGACCTTCTGTCTTCTCCTGACATTTATAGAAGCTTTGTGGGAAAGTTGAATTTTTTTGACTCACACGAGGCCTGACCTCTGCTTTGCTGTCCAACATCTCAGCCAGTTCCTATAGGCCCCTTGTACTTCCCACATGAAGGCTGTTTTGCATTTACTTCACTATCTCAAAAGTACTTCTGATGTTGGGGTGTTCTATGGCAATTCTCCATCCCTTTCCTTGTCTGCCTTCTGTGACAGTGACTGGGCTGCTTGCCTAGACACTCGTAGATCAGTCACTGGGTTTTGCATTCTTTTGGGGAATTATATCATTGGTTGGAAGGCTAAGAAGCAACCAGTTGTCTCTCTTTCTTCTGCTGAGGCTGAATACCGAGCTCTTAGTAAGGTAGTTGCGGAGATGACTTGGGTTGTTTGCCTTTTATCTGTTTTTGGTGTTGCTATATCTTCTGTTGTACCTGTGTTTTGTGACAACCAAGCGGCCATTCATATTGCGAAGAACCCTGCTTTTCATGAGCGGACGAAGCACATTGAATTGGACTGTCATTTTGTTCGGAATAAACTTGGTGACGGCTTAATCTCCTTGTATCATGTTCCTACCACTTCTCAGCTCACCGACGTTTTTACAAAGCCTCTCACTGGAGTTCTTCATCATTCTTTGTTGCTCAAGTTGGGGATTGTAGCACCCTCCAACTTGAAGGGGTGTTAGACTTCAGCTTACTACGACCTATGATACAGGCCCACCACCGGTTTAGCTAAAGTTTATTTATTTGTATTTTGAGCTTCTGGGCCAAAGCCCAATATATTGTAAAAATAACATAGATACATTGAACGGGCTGGTACATTCTAGAAGAGAACATAAAATATTTTTCTCTCTCTCCGGTTCTTCCTTCTCCCATGAACTTTAATCAATACTTCTTGATTTTTAGCTTGATTTAGTAGTTTTACAGTGCAGAAAGTATTCTGTATTTACGCAGGGTTCGGAGAAAGGCTGCATTCTAAGGGTGTGATATACACAACCTACCATAATACAAATATTATATTGTGACTGCTTTCATGGCTCTAACCCGTGACCTATAGTACATACGAAAACAACTTTATTTTACTCCACAACTCTATCTATATCGGATAGTACGTGAAGAAACAAGAAAAATGAAGTGAAAGAGACAAGTATGGGAGCCAACTATTCCTGCATGGGCAGCTAATCAATACGAACCCACAGAAATAAATAGTACTTGAAGGTACAATGTATGTACGCACAGAAACTTCCGGCAACACACTGTATGCAGTATTGCTTAGGGATAGAGTCATCTGAATGTAACGATATATGTTTCTACACTTATTATTGGATCCTTTTTCTTTTTTTCTTTTTCTGCTTTTCGCTACAAGTTTAACTTCTATATATAAATTTCTTATATATAATAGCATGT